AAAATTAATAACATTTGAACTGAAGCCAACACTTGTTCCCAGCCCTGTGATCAGAAACCTGTCAGTAACGTATCTCCATAACTTATTCATTCTCTGTAATTAATTACAGAACAGTATTAAGGATAAAGTCTCTCAGAGGTCTCAGAATTAAAAATAATCTTTGGGGTTTCTGGGCCTATAGCAGTTGAGGTCCAAGCAAATCCTCACAGGAGGGAAAACAGAACTCAAGTTACACAGCCACTAAAATCTGATCATCAATGCAGAATGACACGGGCTATTTCTGACATTCATAAACCCTGCTTATAATGAGAGCGAGAAACATGACACAATAAAACTATAACATTCCCATTATAATTCATGAAGTTGTCTACACCGCAAACCGCTTTCTTGCAATGTAAACATGGCAAATCTCAAATTCCAAGATTGTTTGATGAGCAAACACAATCAAACGTGTTAAAAAGGCTAAACATTGACAGCGATTTTCCAGTGTGTTTGTTCGAGTTGTTTTACTCTGTTGCACTTACATAAAAGGGATAGTTCACTCAAAATTGAAAATGATGTCATCATTTACTCACCCTCATGTCATTCTGAACCCATAAGACTCTAAAAAGCAGAAATTTATAGCACAATGTTTAACTGGTGAAAGTGAAGGCTGACCGCATCTGTCAAGCAAGATTTTCATTGAAAAATGTCAGTCTGTTCCTCACACGAAGCTGTCGTAAGACTTCAGAAGACATAAAATATATAGCACACATCATATGGACTAATTTTATGTTTTATTATGCTTTTATTATAGGTTTGTCAGCCCCTATGGCCATTCACATCCATTGTATAGTAAAGAGCAGTGTGAACATTCTTCAAAACGTCTTCTTTCATGCTTCACAGAAGAAAAAAAATTGATACATGTTTTTGAAAACGACATAATATTGAGTAAATGATGACAGAATTTTCATTTTTGGCTGCACTAACCTGTTTATAAATGTACTGGTGAAAGTGAAGGTTGACCACATCTGTCAAACAAGAATTTCACTGAAAATGTCAAGTCTGTTCCTCACACAAAGCTGTCATTTGACTTCAGAAGACTAATTTTCTATGCTTTGCGATGCTTTTCGATGTTAGTTGCCAAAAAAACGTTTTATTTCAGTTGCCAAGCAACTTTTCTTATTTTAATTTAGTTTAACTTGATGTACTAAAATAAATAAAACTAAAACTGAAATAAAAACAAAAACTAATAAAAATGACAACAACACAAAATACTTCAACTTTAGCAAAAATTCAAATGAAACGAAAAAAAAAAAACAGAATACTGATTCAAAATCTTAATAAAAACTAAAAATACCAAAAATTAATAAAAACTCTTGTGTAAAACTATAAACAAAAACTAATAAAATGACAACACAAAATACTTCAACTTTAGCAAAAATTCAAATGAAAACTGAAAATATAACAAAATATTAAAAACTAAAATACTGTCTCAATGATAAAACAACACAGTTTCTTTCATATTCCACGGAATAAAGACATTCATACAGGTTTGAAAATGACATTATAGTGAGTAAATGATGGCAGGTTTTTCATTTTCGACTTTACTAACCTATTTAGAAATGTACATTTGTCTCAATGATAAAACAACACAGTTTCTTTCATATTCCACGGAATAAAGACATTCATACAGGTTTGAAAATGACATTATAGTGAGTAAATGATGGCAGGTTTTTCATTTTCGACTGTACTAACCTATTTAGAAATGTACATATCCTGCTTTTAAACACATTTGTCTTGGCTTTTGAACATTTCGGCAGTGTCTTTCGAGCAAAATAGTACGGTTCATTAGTTTTAACCAAACATTTTTCTTAGCATATTTCCCTCTCTGTTTAGAAAGAGATTTGATAATCCTCTCGTCTATTATACTCAAGAATCCTTGTTAGGAAATGAATACCTTACTGTAGCTACAGGAAACCTTTCCAATAATCCACTGCATTCCACCAGACGGCTCACGTCTGGGAGGCTTCGCTTAAGTGTGTCTAGAAATACCCCTGCAGGATGAAAAAGAAGAGCAGATTAAAAACGAAACATTATACTGGGCCGGAATCAGAGAACAGGCAGCAGGAAGCTGCTGATTGTTTCGTAGGTTGGATAGTTTCTCGTGGTGTGTGCTAGATGTCGGATGAGGGGACCGAGATGGCAGAGGACTCCAGAGACGGAGTCTGGATTAGTTGATGTGGAGATGTAGATGTCCTGCAGGGAAAGATCTACATGCTCGGATATTTGCCTTCGAGTTTGCTTTGCTACTGGTTTAATGAGAAGGTTAATCAAGTAATCTCCCAGGGTCTTTCTGAGAAGTTCTAGTGGTGGAGATTAACTTAAACTGGTTATTTTATTTATAAAGACAACAGAAAATGGCATTCACATCTTATTTTACTTCTGTAAGGATAACAAAATGTAATATAGGACTTTATTTTATCCATTGGTAATGGATTGCATCATAAGAAGTAGTGCCAGACCTGAATGAGGGTGTGTAGGACTTTGACATCACCCGATATAGAAAGTTGTTTCAGAGTCAGAGCAAGTTAGTACATTTTGATGAAAGATTAGGAAGACAAACAGTTTTTTCTTTAAAATAACATGCACTGATGAATCTTATGCAATAAGACCAGGAATATGCTTTAAGAATGTAAATATAGAGTCTACTTTGATTTCATGTTGACTTAAGAGTGTAGCGTTTTTGTCGTTTTGTTGGTGAATTAATAAACATTTATGCAATTTATTATTCATTCAGTTTTTATGTATTCATAAAATTATTATAGTTTAATAATATATTTTTTGTAAGTGTGCTTTTTTTTGTATAAGGGGCCATCAATAAATACTTACTGGAATTTATACAGTTATGTTTTTGAAAATGTGTGTGTGTGTGTGTATATATATATATATATATATATATATATATATAATAGCAGTGTTGGGGAGCAACTAGTTACATGTAACAGCGTTATGTCATTTATTTACAAATATGAGACACCAGAATTACATTACTTCAATAAAGTAATTGAAATAGTTACACTACTTATTGCATTTTAAGTAGAGTAACTCGTAATCTGCAACCTATTGCATTTCCAAAGTAACTTTCTCAACACTGCATAATAGTTATTTATAAAAAATAATTGCTTATAAAAACATATCAACTATGAATTAACAATAATTTTTCTTATAAATACTGATGTAATTTATGTGTAATCCTAAAAAACTGTAATACTTTTTTTTTAATCATTGTAAATTATGCTCAAAATCTGGGCTGTTAACAGAAAAGTTATAGGTTTAAACCCCAAAAGGGTTGATCCATGGACTATTACCAATGTTCCCTTGAGCAAAACACTTAACCCCAGGTTGCTCCGTAAGTGTCATATAAATCACTTTGTCAGCTAAATGACAAAATAGTAACTAGTTTTAAAACAAAACGATGATTGATTGTCATTGTGAGAGGCCATCACGAAACACTTACTGGAATTTATGCTGCTATGTTTTTGAAAATGATGTAATCTGCATGAATCTTCATGCAGCAAACAGCCCAACACAATAGTTCTGAAGTGATCTCTTATAAACATCTGCGGTGCATGTGAATGATGATCATCTGTGTCGTGACTGCATGCAGATCGCCATGACTCAGCAGAAAACATCTCCGAAGAGCATTACCCTCACATTGGTGGTGTTTTACAGTACATTCTGCAAGGAAACATCCCAGGAAGCTCCAGTCAAATGAGATGAAATATCTGGTTTTGGTTTGCACTCGTAAAGCTGATCCAACTGAATCCAGATCAGTGTTCCCAAGCTGGACTCGTCCTATGTGATTTTAATCCAAGGCGGGAAGCTTGGGTCAATTAATCGGTCAGGGCACACTGCGTCTTTAGGGAGTCAACAACAACAGAAGAAAACCCAACCTTTGCATTCTTGTTTACGTTCATTCATTTGGTAAACCAACCATCATGTTTTAATTATGACTATCATACTCATAAAAGTAAAGGTTCTTTATTGGCATCTGTGGTTCCATTCCAAATAAGGTTCTTTAGATTTTGAAAATGTTCTTCACACAAAGAAATAAATGGTTCTTTAAAGAACTGTTCACTGAAAGGTTCTCTGAGGAACCCAAAATTGTTCTTCTATTGCATCACCTTTGGAATTTCTTTTTGGAACTATTTTTTAAAAGTTTAAGCAGAAGCATTCATGTCAGGGCATTGAGTGCACTTTAGAGTGATTGATATTGTAATATCACTATTATATATTTCTAACACACAGTCTCTACATCAAAAAGCGTCTTCATTCTCCATGCAAGTTCTGACAGACCAGATCAAGCGCATTGCTTTCCCTCAGGGTTTAATGTGTTTATTTCCATTGTGATAAAATTATCCTCCATTAGTCCTTCTCTCAGGGTCCATGCGGTCTTGGTGATGCTATATTTATTTTTGCAGAGCTCAGAGTCTTTTGGGACTGAGAGGGTCACTATACCGCACCTTTGCCTGGCACTGGATCTTCTCCCAGCAGATTTAAAACCCACTTGCTAGGGAAAAAACACTGGGTTTGATTAACTTTCCAGCTTTTGAGTCCACACTGTTGAGTGCTTAACAGAAGGGAGCACTGAGGACACATCACAGCCGCAAGAAGGGGCCCTCGTAAACACCCTTCTGAATCTTGAAATGACAAATGGGAATTCTAAACCAACCATCATGTTTTAATTATGACTGTCATACACTTTTAAAAATAAAGGTTCTTAATGGTTCAATGAAGAAGCTTTAACATCCATTAAAAAAAAGCTTCTTTAGATTTTTTAAATGTTCTTCCCACTAAGAAAAAATGGCTATTTTAAGAATGTTTTACTGAAAGGTTCTTTGGGGAACCAAAAATGGTTTTTCTACTGTATATGGTATTGCTGTAAAAATGGGTCAACCCAACATTTCACAATATTCAATATTATCTGAGATCACAATTCTCTTTGCTTTGCTCAACAGTTAGAAAACTACATCCATCAAAAGACAGGGATGGTGCATTTTCAAGCTGATGCAGTTCATAACCAGACGGCCACTATGTTGGAGATCGGCACCAACCTGCTCACCCAGACTGCAGAGCAAACCAGGAAACTCAATGTGGTTGAAGCCAAGGTAATCTCATTTCACATTATAGAAATGCACGAATGCATACATCATCAGTTTTATTAAATATGAGATTAAGCAGCACAACTAAGAATAAGAATTTTTTTCTGAGCTGCATATTAGAATCATTTCTAACGTTGATTTCTAAACACTGAAGTTGTTTAAAATTGCAATTATGTATCTTAATATTACTGTTTGTTGCTACATATATGTATAGGGTCCAAAAACCACACTGAAAATCAAAATTCGAAATGATTTTAATCCTGGAAATAAACAAAGTTGTTGAAAGCTTCAAAATGTAAAACAGAGAAATGTTATGGAGGAAGATCCATGGAAAATCGTAATTATTTTTTAAATATTATATTCTGCAATGTCTAGGTCACTAATCAGATGTAATGCCTGTTCAGATTCTTTCTTCCATTGAAGCTCAAGATGCTTTTTGGAAGATCTAAAATCATGCTGGAAAACATCATGTTATGTTCGTAGCTGCTTTAGTTGTCATTAAAACTAAATTAAACATTAGTATCCATGTTTTTTTCAAAATGTTGTGCTCATTGTATAATTTGTAATAAAAATTGTACCTTTTAAAGTAAATAAAACATTCTTTAACAAACAGACTTTAGGACCCCACTGTATCATGTCATATATAAAATCATATATATGATAGTTTTCTGTAATTTCTCATTCTTCATTTTACTATTTTCCACTTGAAGGTTATGAACCAGACATCAAAAATTGCAATTCAGTTATTAGAGAATTCATTATCAACAAACAAACTGGAGAAGGAACTCTTAACACAGATTTCAGAAATCTCCAAACTTCAAGACAAGAACAGGTAAGACTTTTTACTGAATCTTTGTTTATTTCTTACATTTATTTCTGTTTCAAATAAACTATAGTGTTTTGTCTGGTAACTTAAAATGTACTTTCTATGTTAACGTTGGCAGAAAATGATTGTCATAGAAAAGAAATTAGATTAATTTCATCTTTTACATTCATTTTATAGCTCTATACTCATACTGTTTGTCAGCAATTCCCCTATTTTTGTGTCCGTTTTATTTCCCCTATGATATTATACGAGAAACATCAGACAAAATGATGCTTGAATGAGTCATAACTGAGAACTGCATTATGTAATTGTGCTCATTACAGCTCTGAACAACCGCTGAGCAATAAGATCAAGTCATTTTTAAGGGTCAGATCGCGTCTGCATCTGCACGTTCACACAGTGTACAGCAACTTTTGTCTCTCTTGTCGTTCTCAAAGTGATATTTTCCCATACTCGGCCAGTCGGAGAGCACAGCAGGGGTAAAGGCTTTGTAAAGGGAAATAATCAGCAACTTGATTGTTTATAATGTTTAATAACTACGGAGTAAGCACAGCGCACAAAGCAGACCCCAGGCAAATTTCCTTTGCACACTTATAAAGCCGGATAAAGGGTTTCCCAGAAAGCTTTGTACTTGGCTCTCGCTAGATTAAACAGATAACGCTTGTTGTCATTCAACTTTGACGACCAATTGAACTGTGTTGCTAGCAATGTTTTGGTAGCTGCATGGGGGCATCAGACGTAATTATAATGGACCGCTACGTTACAGACGATTCGATATTTCATGTTTCCCGTACGAGTGAGAACAGGGAGTTTTCGACCTTTCCAAGGCGACTTATGGCGGTGCGAGCGAAAGTGTTCGTAATTGCTCCCAGAATTGATGCGGGTTTAGCGAGGGTCAGCTTCATAGTATAATAACAGCAAACAATTGCTCAGCATTGTGTACACATTACAAACTCTGGCAAGGGATTTCAGCAGTCCTTGCCAATCGATTGTGCGAAAACTATTTGTGTAATCAATCATATAAACATAAGCATCGAGAACCACTGGCAACCAAAGCATGTTTAATGACTATCTACTGTAATTTAACAAAGTAAGCATCCAGTTACATGGCTCGATGGAGTTTTGATTTGCTTTCCAGTTATTTTCGGCCTCAAACCCTCGGGTGGTGTTATTTTTCAGCACTCACACACACACACTCGCTCACTAAATCACACACAGATTGAAGCCGGCAGGATTTTGCGGAGTTCCTCAGAAACTCGTTTTTGTAGCAGTGGCTCCTTGTTGTGCGGCTGTAAATTGTTTTGACGCGAGACGTGAGTGATTCAGTGCTATCTCCTCTGATCCAGACACTAAATCATGAACCTATAGGGCTGATGGAAATACTGTATCTCCATTGCCTAAAGGCCCAGAGTTCAGACTTGTTTCACACGACACAGCAAGCCACTAGACAGTAGCTAGCAACAGCTAGAGTAACAATCTAACAATAATTGGTCATATCAAGATGATTATGTATGACATCATACAGTATATGCTGATATATAATGCTTATATTGATGGAACTTTATGTAAGCTGTGTTGTATGCTCAAAAAGTATACAGAAAACGTTTTATGCATTTTGGCTGTTCATTTACATGACAATGGCGTTTTGGAAGTCTGAAAACTATGAAAACACGAATTTGTGAAAACGGTCACATCACATGCATGCGTATTGTTCAATCTAAAGGTATTTGCACATGCGTGTAGTGTTTCTTTACATAGTGACATCGCCAACTACTGGCCTGGCATGTTTTTACAACGACTAAATCATTTTTTTATTTTTTTGACAATGTTAATGTTGTTGTCTGTATGGAAGCCCGTTTCCGCCACTGAATAAAAAATAAAAAAAGGTTATTGCGACTTTTTATCTCAGAAGTGTGATATAAACTCACAATACTGAGTTATAAAGTCAGAATTGCGAGATATAAACTCACAATTGCGTGATATAAACTCACAATTGCGAGTTATAAAGTCACAATTGTGAGATAAAAACTCACAATTCTTTTTTTTCTCAAAATTGTGAGTTTATATCTCGCAATTCTGACTTTATAAGACGCAATTGCGAGTTTATTTCTCAGAATTCTGAGAAAAAATGTCAGAATTGCGAGTTTGTATCATGCAATTCTGAGAAAAAAAGTCTGAATTGTGAGATAAAAAGTCTCAATTACCTTTTTTATTTTTTATTCAGTGACGGAAACGGGCTTCCATATGTCTGTCTGCAAAACAAAAAAAAACCAAAAAAAACAATTCTGCAATCGTTAACATGTAAACGTTCCCTCAATTACATTTTCAAATTTATAGGGTATTCTAGCTGCTAGGGTGTTCTGGCTTATTGTGTTTTGAGTGGTTGTTAGGGAGTTCTAGGTGGTTACTAGGGTATTCTAACCTGTAGCTAGGGGTTTCTGGGCAGTCGCTGGAGTATTCTGACCTGTTGCTAGGCTGTTTTGGGTAATTGATGATGTCTTAAAAGTAATAGCACACTTCTTTTCTTAAGAATGTCTAGTACAAGTGGTGAGGGATTGGTTTAGAGCCAAAGTTTAATACTTAGGTCTAAATGTTTCAAATAAACCCCTATAGGTTGCAAAACACCATTATCCATCCTATTGTAAATGCCCAAGTTAGAGGCCTAAGGTCTCCATTTGGCATTCATTCCTGCTCTACCTAGGAATTTCTCCGAAACATGGAGATGCTTTGAAAAGGTGTCTTTTTGACTCAAACTATTGGTTTATACGTTTTTTTAAATGAATGCATTATACATTGTTTCCACCAGTCGTTTGGAGAGTAAAGTCTTAGTCCTGGAGTCGAAGCAGAGGACGGAGCTGGAGGACATGAGGGAGGAGAAAGAGCGACTGCAGGACCTGGTGAAGAGACAGACAGCTGCCATTACAGCTCTGGAGAGACAGCTTAGAGTGGCCAGCACCAACAACTCAGCCCTGCAGAGACAACATCAGCAGCTCATGAAGTCCGTACACACACTTATTGGCATGATGTCTTCTGGAACAGGTAAAAATGCACACCTTCAAAGGAATTGTTCACCATAAAATGAACATTTGCTAAAAATGTACTCATCCTCAGGCCATCCAAGATGTAGATGAGTTTGTTTGTTCATGGGAACAGATTTGGAGAAATGTAGCATTACATGACTGGCTCACCAATGGATCCTTTGCAGTGAATGGGTGCCGTCAGAATGAGCGTCCAAACAGCTGATAAAAACATCACAATAATCCACAAGTATCCACACCACTCCAGTCCATCAATTAACATCTTATAAAGTGAAAAGCTGCATGTTTGTAAGAAACAAATCCATCAAGTGTTTTAACTTTAAGTCATTCGTTCTGGCCAAAATACTGTCCATAATCCATAATAACGCTTCCTCCATCCTCTGTGGTCCTCTCACATCAAAATCCTTGTGGACTGTTTTCACTTGTAAACAGTCCTTGATCTGTGCAGGATATTAGTCAAGTCAAGTCAAGTCTGCTTTATTGTCAATTCTTCCACATGTACAGCACATACATACAGATAATTGAAATTGCGTTACTCTCAGACCCTTGGTGCATACAGATAACACTAACAGTAGAACATAAATACAATTAGTCTACCTCAACCTAGATTGTCTATCAAGCCATAGAAGTGCATTATGTTGGCCTGTTTCATTTGAGCTTATATCATATTATGAAAGCTAAAATGCATTTTGCATGCCATTTCATGTTGATTTTAATATTTCAATTAGATTTATTGCATTGCTGCAGCCTTTCACTGTCTGAGAGGATAGAAAAATGACTCAGTACCCAGTTAGAGTACAAAGTAAGGTTACTTGTCTGAGAATGACAGACATGTCTGATTCTTGGGCTTACCACAGCTTTTAAATCTGGTGGCAGATTCTTAACATGACCTGAAAGTTCTGGTTAATTAACCGTGACACTAATGATAAATCGAGCAGGCATGATTCGTGGAGAGAGGGGATAAGCTCTCGCTAGTGATGTCTTTGGCAGCGTGCGCCCGTGTCTTGGATGAAGTTCACATGCGTCACAACACGCACTGATAAGCTAAATCAAGACTGCAGCATTTTATACAGACAGAAGACATGTCAGTTTATAAATGTCTGCCTGGAGGTTCACTCGAAGAACCAAATGTACCAAATTTTCTAAATAAACTCTCTCTCAGATGCTTGACAAACAAACACATTGTGTTGAATGTTTCAATGACTCATCCCAAAACTAGACCACTATGGTCTTTATATTTGAAAACTTGAGGTCATGTAATTATTATAAATCTTGTTCTTTTGACAACAGAAACCACATCGTTTTGTTTAGTCACACTGTGTGGCAAATCCACAAAACAACTTTATGTCATGCATCATGTGTATCAGTGTTATTTTAGTATCACTGAGATACTATTACAGTTTTTATTCATATTTATAATTAGTTTTTGTGTTTTCTGTTATAATTTAAATTTTTGTTTCAGTTTGGGTGTGTTTATTATTATTATTTTTTAATTACATGTATTTATTTTTTATTAAAATTTTCAAAAATATATTTTTTTTATAAATTTCAGTTTTAGTTGTCTTGGCAACTAGCTGAAATAAGTCATTTGAAAAATATTTTATTACATTTTATTTCACTTAAAGTTAATTTCATTTCAAGTAAAAAATAAAAGCATGGTTTTATTTTTTTATGCCAATGAGGTCAATTACAATTCAAATTAGTGTTATTTTAATATAATTAATATGCTATTATAGTATCTATTATTTTGAATCAATATTATATTTTACATTTTAATTTAAGATAAAAGTTTAAATAATTTCGTTATTTTTGTCACTTTTATTTATTTTATTTTTTATTTTTTGAAATGTCTGTTTAGTCTTTATTAATGTCTATTTTATAATGTCTATCAGTTTTAGTCATTCTATTTGGCAATTAGTTGAAATAAAATAAGATTTTAATATTTTCTTTTTTTCAGTTAATGTTTACTTTATTTCAGTAAATGTTCTTTAATATTTTTAGTTTGTTAACAACACTGAAAACAGCTTCATGAGACTACTGTAAATAATATAGAGTCTGGATTCCCATACGAGTACAAACAGAGTACTTACGTTAACTGCTGTGTCACAGCAGTGTTTTGTTGGCTAATTGTCTTTCTTACCTTCCGTTCAAATCAATTCTGAACCCCAGAGCCTCTGTGTTTTCCCTTACAGGCTTCTCATCAAATGAGCAGCACTTCAGAGACTGTGCCGAGGCCTATAAATCCGGTCACAACACCAGCGGAGTCTACCACATTTACATCGGAGACATGACCGAGCCAACCAAGGTGTGGGATGCGTTCTTTCACAAATATGAGGAATCAGTGTGATGTATCTTGGCTGTGACATACAGAACGAGGAATGTAAGAGAGTGAGACTGAGATGTTTCATATGCTTCTGACAGGTCTTTTGTGATATGGTGACAAGCGGAGGTGGCTGGACGGTGTTCCAGCGCAGGGCCAGTGGAAGTGTGAACTTCCAGAAAAGCTGGAAAGACTATAAACTGGTAAGTGGACATAAACATTAAAAGACTGCATAACATTTACAGCTGACTGTGCAGAACGTCCTAGCATCACATCAGTGTACAGACAAAGAGAACTTGTTACATTTGTAGACAATGATGAAAATCCCTATTGATTGTGTTTAAAGAAAAGGAAATGTTTTTCTCCCTGTGCTGGGAAGACGTGATTAAAAGTTTGGCATTATTCTGATGACATAGATTCAAAAACCAGCCAAAGCAGGATGAAGCACAGCGGCCAAAATTGTAAGTGACAGATTGGCATCATTGGCAGTAGCTGAACTGTTTGATGCATTCTGTATTTAATAGAGGCACATTCTGCTGATATTTTAAGTGCTTAAATATGCTGAAATGGATTGAAAACTGGCAGTTCTGTGAAACTGCAGGAGTGAAAATCAATACTGCAATTTTCTACATTTTGTTAATCTTGCCAAATGTCATTATGACCCTTCCTTTCTATAAAAAGCTGAAAAGGATGAGACTCTTTTTCTGGGAAATAAAAGACCGACAATGTACCTATTTAATTCAAGGAAACAAAACAGCTGTTTTGTGTTTAATACTGTGTTTCATTTAAAGTTGGATATGTGATATTCCTGCTTGATATGTAACCATAAAGTGTTGTCCAGTAATAAGAAGATAAAGGAGATGATCATTTGACTTGTTTGCACGAGGAACTTTGACTCACTGATGCAATTTTATTTGCATTAAAGTGTGTATAATTAAAGTGCCCCTATTATGCCATTTTTACGATTCCTAATATTGTTTTGGGAGTCTCTTACAATAGGATTACATGCATGCAATGTCAAAAAATGCTTTCGTTTTCTCAAAATATGCATTTAATATCACCACATTTTCCAGCGATTCTCAAACGATTCGTTCGAAGCAGTTCAAAGATTCAGTCTCTCTAAACCCCTCCTTTCCGTGAGCCTGCTCTGCTCTGATTGGTCAGATGGCCTAGTCTGTTGTGATTGGTCGGAAACAATACGCCTATTTCAATACTTCTGTAGTTTGAACGCTCTATAGAAAATATAAACATCTATTATTTATCATACTTACAGGTTGTGATTCAGTGGAGCAGCTGGTCCAAATAAACAGGTTAATGATCCATCTTTCAACAGCAAGGGTTTTGTGAATGCCGCGTTGAACTCCCCGAGATTAGAGAAGCAGTCGTCAGTAGAATGACGTGTTTGTGGGCGGGGTCAAGTTGTTCGCGGCCGGCCAACGTAGAACATAGGCTCACATTATGCAAATGTGTTACCCCGTTACGTGCAGCTGTCACGGAAGTGGAATTCGAATTACTAACGACTCGATTCAGCTGTTCACAGTCGATTCTTTCTTTTGGGAGACAATAACTTTATTTATCGTTCACTTTCAGCTTTACAACTTTGCAGATCGTTTACATTCACATACAGCTACATTACACACTGCATGAAAGGCAGTATTGGAAATGGCATAATAGGGGCACTTTAACTATACAATCTTATGTTTGAAAATTTCCAAACATAAGTTTCAAAGTTCAACTTCAAGTGCCGTTTTATTGCTTTCCCAAATAGGAAGTTTGAAATCCTGACTTTACAAGATGAATGGAACGCAGCATTGGTTTCATTATATGTTGTTCTCACAGGGATTTGGTGATCCTAGTGGAGAGCACTGGCTGGGTAATGAGGCTGTTCACCTGATCACCAGTCAAGCCCAGTACTCCCTCCGAGTGGAACTTAAAGACTGGGAGGAGAACGGCGCCTATGCTCTGTATGACAAATTCCAGCTGGCCGGAGAAAAACAGCAGTACAGGTATCACCTGTGTTAACGGAACGACCAAGACTGATATTAACGTTAAACTTTTTGACAATTTGTTAATGTTCAGCAATATGCCTATCATCATCTTTCTCTTTCTCCAGACTCTTGCTAGGGAGCTATAGCGGAACAGCAGGACAGCAAAGTAGTTTAGCATCAAACGGCACGGGCTTCAGCACTCGCGACGCTGACAACGACAAGTGCGTTTGCAAGTGCGCCCTCATGATGACCGGAGGTGAGCTACTGCATATGATCTCATTCAAAAACACAGTTATGAAAAATTTTTCAAATGTTAAGAAGTACTTAAAGGAATAAACCTCAGGTCATCCAAGATTTAGTTGATTTCTTCATCAGAACAGATTTGCAGAAATTTAGAATTACGTCACTTGCCCACCAATGGATCCTCTGCAGTGAATGGGTTCCACCAGAAGTTTCTTACAAACATGCGGGCTCACAAGATGTTGACTGATGATCTGGAGTGGTGTGGATTACTTGTGGATTATTGTGATGTTTTTATCAGCTGTTTGGACTCTCATTCTGACAGCACCCATTCACTGCAGAGCATCCATTGATGAGCAAGTCATGTAATGCAAAATTTCTCCAAATCTGTTCTCAATGACACAGCATAAAAAGCATAGCTGTTTTTAAAAATATTGTAGCTGAGCAATTTGAAGTAATAATCCAACACACTCAGACATGCTCTCCTGAAATGTCCATACATTTTAGTAAAAACTGATTCATTTTAGTGGATTGGTTCATTCAGACAGTTCATTTAAATTAAGTGATTAAAAAATGCTTTGAAGTTTGATTCACCAATTTATTTGATTTCCCCATTTTATGCCCAAATAGTGAAGTCATATCATATCATATCATATCATATCATATCATATCATATCAGTCAATACAGATTGTTTCAAAGCAGCTTCACAGTAATAACGAGAAAAATAACATAATCAACGATACAAACTTTTTCAAATACGAGACTGTAAAGCAGCTCTGAGAAAGACAATAGTGTCATCATTCAGCTCAAGTCAGTTCAGTTCATTGACTGTGTAAAGTTCATCAGTTATCATACAAGTTGTCAAACAGTATCAAGTTCGCAAAATTAATCAATTAATAAACTAATATGATTCAGCTATAAAGCAGTTCCACAGAAGACAATAGAATCAGAAAGTTTGGTTCTCATCTGATAGTGTCAATGCAGTCAAATAGATGATATTACTGAATATCACTTAGAGAATATTAATATTTATTGCAATAATTTAGCAAAATAATATATTTAATAAAATGTTGCTGTTCACACGGATATTGAATGTCCATCAGTTAAGTTGCTTTTTGCATCTTTAATTTTCATTAATCCCATTGACAAAAACATGAACAAAGACCTTGAGTTTAGATTATAAACAGTCTTGTCACATCCTTGATCATTTGACATAAAATACTTGTTACGTAAAGTCTAATCTGATTGTAGATAGGCACTCACCAGTGCTTATTGAATGCAAGCCATCTACATTCATATCCTCTCAGTCACATTTCTTCACTTGTGGCCTGAATGTGAAGCCGAAACAGTCATGCAAAAACCCTCTGATCCTCTTCTAATCGAAGAAAACGCAACCCCATCGCAGAATTATGTAAAACACGTCCAGAGTTCAGACGCGCATTCAACACCCGCTATGCAAACAGTTTACTTGACTGCAGATCCCACACCTCTGGGGCCCAAGATAAACAGCTTTTAATAGCATGCATTGCGATTGATTTTGAAAGTTGTTGGAGTTAATTACCGTCGAACCGAAGGTCTGGAGACCTTCGAGTGCCGTTTATGTTTGCATTTCAAATGGTAATCAAAAGATGTAAAGATGGATCCATCTGTGCGGCCCGTCCAAACTAAACACGCACTGAGGGAGGTGATACTGATTTAATCAGGGTTAGAGAGACGGTGTCCTCTCTGAAGAGACAAAGTCTGGCTTTCATTGAAGAATCACAGTTTGCTTTGACAGGTCTTGCTGAGACATCGACCGCACAGTGGGAATAACATACCCTTTGAAACACTGACGGACTGTGGAGAGAAAAATAAAAAGACACAATATAGAGGAGAGAGATGGATCAAGGGCTTTGATTGTTTTGAGGAGATGTCATTTTTAAGCCTGCCATCATTTGCTGACCCTCATGTTGTTCCAAAACCAGTATGACTTTCTTTATTTTGTGGAATGCAAAATAAAATATTTTGTATAATCTTTAGTTTTTTTTTATTCAATGAAAGCATGTTGTAACTAGAGTCTGTCAAGCTCCAAAAAGGACAAAAAGCAGCATAAAATTACCATAAAAATCCATATAAATCATGTACTATATTCCCAAGTTTTCCAAACCAATGATTTATTTAAAAACATAACACAATTTAGGCTAAGCTTTTAAATATTGAAACAATTATACACTTTATAAACACTTAATACAAAATAATTTCCATAAATAAATAAATAAAACATGAATGCAAAATTCTTTATTTTATTTTTTTATTATTTTTTTTTTAGTAATTTTGTTGTGTGCTTTTGTTATTTTTCTATTTTTGGTTTATTTTTATTTTAGTTTCAGTTCAGTTTTAGTTAGGGTTAGTAATTTTAGTGCTACAACTAAAACTTATTTCAGTTAGTTGCCAAGGTAAAATGTACAATTTTAATATAATTTAATATTAAATTTTATTGGTTTTAGTTAACAAATAATCCTGATCAAGGCCCAAAGTAAACACCTGTGAGCGCTATACTGTTTATAAAACTGTTTCAAGTATTTATCTCAGTCTCTTTTATTTGTCGTTCTTTCAGGCTGGTGGTTTGATGCTTGCGGTCTGTCTAACCTCAATGGAATCTTCTACACCGTGGGTCACAACATCCGCAAACTCAATGGCATTAAGTGGCATCACTTCCGAGGACCCAGCTATTCGCTCCAGTCCACTTCCATGATGATCCGTCCAGCTGATTTCTGACGTGAATAAATTAGCATTGCCGCAAGCTTGTCACATTGACAATGACAGGACTTAAAGCACTTGCTTTGGGACATAGGAGCAACAAGGTGGAGACAAATAATGGATGGACGGTGATGTTTTTACTGCAAATCCGAGAGCTGGAGTGGAGAAAAGTGATCAGACTGAAAATTCATTACTATGCCACAATTTTCTTTTTTACACATGCAAACACGCTTCTCCTTCACAGCTACTCTTGTCTGAATTCATGTGTGGCTTATAACCTGAAACATTCTCAGTGATGGCGACTCTCATGGTGTCAGAATGTGGGTCATCAATGTGGCATGATGTAATTCCAAAGGAAAACCTTTCGACCTTAATGAGTCTGATTCTGGAACTGTTCTAGATGTTCCAGAGGAATAACCTTAATTTCCAAGAGGTTGTATTCTATTTTGTAAAAGATAATAGCTGTTAACTACATAGCGAGGCAGCTGACTAGTTACACTACCATTCAAAAACTTGAGGTTGGGATGATTTTTTATGTTTTTGAAAGAAGTCTCTTATGGTCACCAAGTCTGCATTTATTTGATCAAAAATACAGTAAAACAGATTTATTGTGAAATATTATTATAATTTATAATAACTGTTTTAATATACTATTTTAATATTTTTTTAATGAATTTTCAGCATTATTACTCCAGTTTTCAGTGTCACATATCCTTCAGAAATCATTCTAATATACTGAATTGCTGCTCAAGAAACATTTCTCAATATTATCAATGTTGAAAATTGTTGTGCTGCTTAAAATTTTTGTGGAAATCAGATACATTTTTTTCTTTCAGGATTCTTTGATAAATCGAAAAATCAACAGCATTTATTTGAAATAGAAATCTTTTATAGCATTATAAATGTCTTTACTGTCCTTGTTGAATAAAAGTGTTACCTTCTTTAAAAAAAAAAAAATCTTACTGACCCCAGACTTTTAAATGGTAGTGTAGCTTATTAGCAAGTCAGCAGGTTAGACTGACACATTACATACTTTTATGTATATTTTTAATAACTGGATATTTTTTATATTTTGCATCTCTTTCTTTTTTAGTCGTTTTTAGGCCCGAAACATACTCTGCACAAGCATGTGAATGCAAACGCTTCTCCAATGTGTCATAATTCATTTAATGAGACTAAATTCTATTTGTTTAATGTGCGTCATATTCTTAACATTGCTGTAGGGTGCTATTAGTGGGCTTGAGCGTAAACTATCTTGTTTATGGTCTTGACGGAGCAACATCTGAAAGGAAATCTTGCTGGGCAAGTTAGCTGTAGTCGGCAGGTTTGAAGGTAATTCTGTTGCCTTCTTTAGTACACACATTTCTTAAAACAACTCAGAAAGCAATGTGTTGCATTTGCCCACTTGCATAAAGTGGGTTTCTGGCCTTATAATTGTTGTACCCGTGTGATTTGTATGTTTTGTATGTAAAAAAAGATATTATATTTTGTCTACTAATGTTTTTAAATGTGTTCTTTGTGACCCGTTGTTCCCATTTCAAAACTATATTGTAATTTTGTCATTTTTTTAAAGAGGATGCACTTTAAGGAGTACAGTATGACGGTCATGTGGTTAGACAGCAGATACGCTGATAGGAGTTGACTGTTCCTACAATTGTACAATATGAACAATGCTATTAGTTGCTGCTGTGGTATATACATTAATACTTTCTGACCATGAACCTTTCATCACATATCATTACAGTTTGATAATAAACCCTGCAGATCAGTTCTGGAGGCAAACTGGATAACAGCTTTTCAACAGGTCGAGGTTTATTTTATTATTCTGAACTAAAAGTGGAAGACGCCAAAGGCTTTCCTGTCTTTTTGTGGTTCGAGCTTCCTAGTTCATACAGTGTTTTTATTGAACTGAATTCCAGTTTTCTGCCAAGAACAGCAGGAGCATATGAAAGACATTCTCTCTTGATCAGTCTTTACTCACTTTGTAAAAATGTCAATTTGTCATGTCAGATATAAATTTTTTTATTTGGTTTTGTTTTAGGAGGTCTACATGAGCAATAAAGTGCTTCTTATATAGATATTTGGTGCATTCTTTTGGTTAATCGGTTTCATGCTGCAACATATGATCTGATATTTCACTGGAGTCACTGGAGTTCACTGGAATGATAGAACGTTCATTCAAAGTTATCTGGTCTTTAATAATATTCTCAAAAATGTTAGTGCAAAAACATTATTTATTGTTCATGGAATGCTTTATTCCTGAAACGTTTTAACTGGACATTCGTTTAACATTTTTTAAATGTTACTTGTTTCAGAATGTTCAGAGAACATTCAGAAGTAACATTTCCATAATGTTTGAAAAATTATCAAATGGAATGCTACCTTAACATTCACAACCAGTAAAAACATTTTTAAAACATTTTTAAAAACTCTGG